GGGCCACCTTTGGGACACCCTCAGAGTAAAGTCTTGAGTCTCTGAGCAGCAGCCCCTCTCCCCATGGCTGGTTCTTGCTGCTGGACACCTCCCCGGGCATCCTCCTGGTGCCCCAGCATGTGACCTCGGCTCCCCAGCCTCACGTGGAGGCTGGCAGGCGGAAGGAACCATTCAAACAGGAAATGTCCGGGGCGTCTGGCTGGCCTAGAGCGTGTGCTCCTGGTCTTGGGGTTCTAAGTTCCAGCCCCATGTTCGGTGTAGAGATTACTTCAAATCTTTAAAATTACTTAAAAGTCTTTAAATGTGGGACATCCAGCCAGAGGTGGTGCTCTGGGCTGCCAAAGCGGCTTCCCCAGGCAGGGCTGCGCTCCAGGCCGTTCCTCAAGGCAGGTGGGACCCCTGAGCTTGAAGCCACGGCAGAGCCAGGCAAACCGGTCCCACAAGCAGCCGCTCAGGAGAGCAGTGACGGGCTGGTCACCCTCTTAGGACCCCCTTCATTAGGGGCCTCCAGTCCCACCCTCCCCCCTTCAGCCCCACTGGTCGAGGGAGCCGGTGTGGTGGCGGGTCCCTGCTGCCACCCGAGGACACCTGTGGAGCTCTGCCCTCTCCATAGAACCACGGGGCGAGAGCCACAGGGTAGTGTCCACACAGGACCTTTCATCCCCAACACCTCAGGCCCAGTGACTCGGAGTCCAGGGCAGTCTACCCGGGGGAGGGCATCGAGTGAACCCCAACACAGCGTGGGGGGTGCAGGTGAGCTGGATCTCAGCAGACCCCACGGCGTCAGGGTGGGGACGCTCTGGCTGAAAGCCACGGCACAAAGAACCTCCCTTTTACTTCTAATGAATCCTGGCAACGGTGGGGCTGTCCTGCCAGGCCTCCCCCTCAATCCACAGGGCCGCCTCCAGGGCTTCCCGCCGCGTGCGAGCACACGCGCACGCGCACACATGCACACCCATCTCCCGCACGGCCACACAGCCAGACAGCGGTGCGTCCCGGTGCCCCACCCGGAGGGCACACTTCCCTTCCCCAGTGGAGTCCACGCACATCTGCGGCCTAGAAAGCACGTCTTGGCGCGCCTGGGTGGCTCAGTAGGTTGAGGCCTCTGTCTTCGGCTCAGGTCGTGATCCCGGGGTCCTGGGATCGAGCCCTGCATTGGGCTCTCTGGTCGGCGGGGAGCCTGCTTCCTCCTCTCTCTCTGCTGCCTCTCTGCCTGCTTCTGATCTCTGTCTGTTAAAAAAAAAAAAAAGAAAAGAAAAAGAAAGAAAGAAAGCGCGTCTGGATCTCAGGTACCTACAGCCTCCTACGATAGCACCGGGCCAGGCAGGCAGGACCCCCGGAGCGCACAGCCCTCGCCACCCCCAGGCCCCGGAGCACTGGTGCCGTCCTCATCCCGGGGGCCTGTGGGAGCTGAACGCCTGTGAGTCTGGCCCACCGCCTGACCTAGCCAGGGGCACAGCCAGTAGGGCTCCCATGGAGAGTGCGGGCAGCCACCCAGGCTGCAGAGGAGGCGCTCTGGACCCAAGAGGCCAGCTGCGGACTCCTTCCGGGCTGGAGGACACTCCAGGCCCTGCAGTCAGTGGCTTCCAGAAGCTAGGGACCCCGGACCTGGGACCCAGGAGGTTCCTGTCTGGCCTGGCCAGGGCACACCCCCCCACACACACACACCCCTGCCGCGCGCCTTACATGGAAGTTGCAACAGAATTGAGCTGCCAGAGACACCTCTCCTAAGAGCCTCCAAGGACAGGCTGTGCTTGCTGGCCTCTGCCCCCCGGTGGCTGGTGTGAGAAGCACAGCGCGTGCTGTGGGCTTGGCTGGGGGCTGGTCTGCGAGATGGGGACTCCAGCCCCTGCCGGTGACAGCAGCATGACAGGTGGCCCTCCCTTCTCCCAACAACCTGCTGGGAAAGGGGGGTCAGCTCCACGGTGCAGGGAGGAGGCAGTGAGGTGCTGAGTGGGGAATTCTGCTGTGGACCCAAGAGACCCCTCTCCTTGAGGCCCTGGGCGTCCTGCCGATGCCTGACACCCATATCACTCGGGAACAGCGCCTGCGGCCTTACAAACACACGTGGGCACACACATGTCATGTGTGCACGCGGTAGGCCACAGCCCCGCACGTGCGCGCACCCCCGCTCAGCCCCCCACTGCTTTCTTCCCCTGCCGCCCCTAGAAACCCTCCTCAGGGCCCAACACTGTGCTCCCCAACATGCCTAGGACACCATGTCTAGGACTCTCCTGCATGCTGTGTGAATAAGCTGTGTGCGAAGGGACAATGACTCTCCCTGTCTCACACAGGACATGTCTCCAGACCCCAGGTTAAGAACCAGCATCAGCTGTAAGAGACCTCAAAGTGGAATGAGCTCCCCTTCTCTGGGAGTAACCAAGCACACATCGGCCACCAATCTGACCAGATGTTGGGAGCTGGAACATTGGGTCTCCATTTCCATAAGCCCATGACCTCGTACAGCCACAAGGTTGCCCCAAGTCAGGATATGCAGCCACAGCCACACCCCAACAAATACGCCCTATGCTGGGGCAGGGGCTCTTCGTCCCTGCGGCTGGCGCCCCCAGTGTGAGGGGCCACCCCTCTGGGGTCCTGGGACAGCTGAGCCCCAGCTATGAGGTCCAGCTCTGAGCACTGTTCCAAGAGTCTCGGTCCCGGGACTCTTGGGGTCCCCTCCCCAGAAGCTCACCTCTCCTCCAAGCCCCAGGGGTGTGCATGCCCGGGGCCACACTGTCTGGGGGTTCACAAGGCCTTTCCGTCTCACCCAGCAAGCGCTGCTGGACCCCTCCGTGCACACGCAGGCACTGTGCAGGAGTGAGGGCTGGCTCCCGGCTGGGCCCCCATCGGGATGCAGTGTGATGAGGAGCAGGGCCCCCGATTGGGTCGTGGAACCCAACCGGTTAAGAAGGGAGCACGCACTGGGGATGCATGTGTACAGACGCACACAGAGTCAAGCACAACCTGTCTTACTCTTTGTAAGGCACGAAAAAAAGACTATAAAAACACATTCACACGAGAAGAAAAACTATCCAACCAGAACTACTGCAATGGCTCCCAGATGCCTACCCTAATGGCCGAGCGAGGCCCAGGCACCTGATAGAGGCAGATGGGCGGGGCCCAAGCCCAGCTCCCAGCCGGCTGTCCTCCCCAGGGTCTTAGGTGTCAAGGTAAGACTGCTGTGATTTCTCCCGGACTCTGGTCCCTGCTCTGGTTGAAAGAGGGGCAGTTCCAGGAGACTGGAGGGAAGTGGGTGGGTGTGAGGCCTAATTGCCAGGTAAAGCAGCCATAATGAGGATAAAAGGACACGGAGCAAGAGCAAAGGGACAGCGGCATCCCCTCCCTGGCCCTGCACACGTGTGGACAAGAAGATGCCCACGTCTTCCTCGGAGGGTCCTTCTTGGGTCCAGCCAGACACGACCTTGCGAGCCACAGCCAGTGAGTCTGCATGACCCCAGCAAGGGCTGAGAAGTGGGTGCGGGTCTTTTGTTGTGGGATCCCAGGGGCCATTTCCAGGATGAGATGGGGAACACTCGTTTCCCTAAGTAGTGTGGGCCTCTCTCTGGGGATGAGGGACGTCACCTCGGCTGATGGCCCACAGTGGATGACCGGGTGAGGAGGGGCAGTGCGGGTGGAGGGCTAGCAGGCACCTGCAAGCCTTCTCTTCATCTGGGAGGAGGAAGAAGGGAGAAAGGGTATAAATAGAAGGGTCGCGAGGCTACAGAACAGGTGAATAAGCAGAGAGCAGCCACGTGTCCTCTGAAATCCACACGCACAACTGCACAGGGCCAGGCTGTGGCCCGCAGGAGAAAGGCCTTCTGTCCATGTGGCACCTGCCCCTCCTTGCTCTCACCAAGCCACAGACAGGGGAGCACACGCCTCGTGTGCGCCTGGGTCCCTACCCCCCACTGGCTAACCTCTCAGAGCCTCTCTCACCTGCAACACTGCATGAACGTAAGACCCTGGGGGACATGGCCTTCCCTCCCCGCTTCTCCGGAGGTCCCCCTACCGGCCCTCTACCCTCTACCCCCCAAGCCCAGAGCCAGCATAGAGCACCCGCCGTCACCTGGCACCCGGGCCTCCAAGGCAGGCAGGCCTGCTGCAAAGCCACAGGAAAACCCCACGGCTGTCGGGGCAGGCTTGGTGCTGTGTCCCCTCACCCAGAGAACGCCCCGTCTGACCCCCAAAGTCCTGAAACGTCCACATCAAAAGGGACCAGACACTCAGACGCGGCTCGCCCCGCTCTTCGTGGCACTGAAGGAGGGACACGGCCGCCCAGGGCCACAGACTGGTCTGCGCACAGTGCCCGCGCTTCCCCTCTTGGAGGGAACTTCCCATAACCGCAGCTCAGATCCCCTCGGAATCCCAGAATCCCAGGCTGTGTCCGTTCTCCCCGGGAAAGGAGCCTCTGCAGGCGCGGCCCAATCCCTAAAGCCCTGTTCTCGGAGGGAAGGAGCGCTCCCCGGCTCTCACGCCCTGGGAAAGGTCTCTCTCCCCCCGGCGGCTGACCCCCGCCGCCACCACGGCCGGCCCGCTGGGCCAGCTTTGGAGTCCAGGGCCTGCGCTCGTGGATCCTACCGCGGCGGGTCTGCGCGGGAGGCGGGGCGGGTGCACCCCGCGGGAGCAGGGGTTCAGCGCCCGCCTCCACCGCCGGCTGGACGGGAGCCCGGCTCGGCTTCCGCCCAGCCCTGACCTCCGCCCTTTAGTCCACGGTGAGTGGGTGCGCCAGGCCCCAGGGGTCGGTGTGACTCGCGGCGCGCGCCAGCGCAGTCCCGTGGGGAGGACTCGGCGGCCACGCGCTCCCTCCCCCGCGGCCCGCGCACCTGTCCTGGGCGTGGCCCCGAAGCCCCGCCCCGCGACCCCGCCCCGGCCGCGCCTCGCGCTGGTTGGCCCAGGCGGCGCGCTATGCTAATGAGCCAGCCCTCCCGCCACCTGCCTGCCGCGCTGCCCGCGGGCGCCGGGTGGACGCCTCGGGGCACCCGCGTCCGCAGGGGGGGACCATGCCACGCTCCTTCCTGGTGAGAGCGCACTCCAGCCACAGGGCTCCCAACTACAGGCAGCTGGAGACGCAGAGAGGTAGGGGCTGCCGGGCTCCTCGGACTTCGTCCCAGGTGGGAGGAAGGGGGCATCTTGCCGGCAGAGGGGCAGCGAGACCCCGGGTGCGTGGGTGGTCTGCGGGCGCTCGTCCGCTGCGGGGGGCCTCGGCCCCGCGTCGGGCTGAACAGGCGCGGACTCCCTCCCCACCGAGAGAAGTTTCAAGGCCCCCAGTCACTTTGGGGCTCTCCGCCTGGGGCCTGGCGAACCCATCGCAGCTAAGGGAGCCCCGGAGCCATCTTCCCTGGGGCAGGAGGTTTGGGTGGGTGGGTGATGGGGTCCCGGGGATTGGTGGGGAGAGAGACTGGGAGGACTTGGGGATGCGGTCCAAGTGCTCCCCCAGAGCATCCAGAGGAGCCCAGAAGAGTGACCCATGGGCTCTGTGTGCCTAAGCCCAGCTCCTGCAGCGCCCCTCCCGGCCCCTCCTGGGCTTCCTCAAACCTTTTATGGGGGTCACCTTCCCTCGGGCCTCCCTTCACCCCCGTGACAGTTCCTCAGAGCAAGCTGTGGGGGGCACTTAGGGGCTGCAGTCCTTCTCCCAACCCCAAGGGTGGCTCAGTGGGGAGATGCACGTCCAGGACCCAGGACTATGTATCCCCATTCCCTGCTAGGCATAGGGACACAAGAAGGTCCCGGGACAAAGGTCTCCCTAGAGTGATCAGAGCCATTCCCCACAGCTCAGCTGCTTCTTGGGGGGGTGAAGACCCCCTCCCCGGGGGAAACTGCTTGGTGACTCAGACAAAGAGGGGAGGAGGGACACTGTGGAGGCCTGTGAGTGGAGGCCTCCGCATGGATCCATCCTGGGGCCCGCTGCCACCAGGGGGTGCCTCCTAGGACTGGGCTCCTGAACTCTGCATTTTGAAATCAGTTTAATGAGTCACCACCAGTTGTTTTCATAAAATGAAACAGAACAGAAACCATCAGAGTGCAGGGCTCAGGGGAAGGAAACCTGTGCTTCAGATATGTGTGTGTCTATGATGAGAAATGGAACTGACACGGGCCATAGTAGTGTTTCAAACCTGTTGTCTAGAGCCCGGCCTTAGCACACACCTGGCTTTACCCTTTGTGCAGACGTGCAGACCAGGGCAGCCAGTGACAAGGGTCAGACTCAGCCACCTCCCATCCTCCTCCCTCCTCCTGTCACCCCTCCTGCCTGTGGAGAGCTAGGTGACCACTGTGAGCCTCCTCCTGCTAGGGTGTTGTCTGGGGCCCCTCACTCTCTGATTTTAACTAAGTGCCTTTTCAGGCCTCCCCCAGGGAATGTCTAAAACCAGAAGGAACTTAAAAGTCTCTTCTCCCAGGAATTTGAGTCCCAGGACCAGTAAAAACATCCAGCAGCCCCAGGAAGTATGGAAAGCATTTAAAGGACCAGCAGAGGCATGGGTCAGTGCCACTAGCTTGGCTGCCTCTCTCCCCTGCCCTCCCTCTGGGGCCCCCAAAACAGGGTTTGGCTCTGAGATACCTGGGGCCAGGGTGGTGGCTGCATCCCAGAGACAGGAAGGGTGCTCTTTTTCCCCAGTAGAAAGGCCCCTCGTGGCGCTTCTGTGGCGTCTTAGCCTCTCCAGCATCCCAGGGTTATCTTTCCAGAACTTCCTCGGCCTTTGTCTCTTAGCTTGCCATTGCTACTCTCTCTGGAGGACAGAAATTTGGTGTGCTATTTTATAATTGGAGGATTAGGGGTGAAGTCAGGGCAGAGTGGAGGGTGGGAACCTTCCTTAAAGGTCCTCATTTCTCTACAACCTCACCGACACTTGCAACTGTTTTTGTTTTTGTTTTTTTTTTATTGTATTTATTTGACAGAGAGAGAGATCACAAGTAGGCAGAGAGGCAGGCAGAGAGAGAGGGAAAAGCAGGCTCCCCGACACGGGGCTTGATCCCAGGACCCCAAGATCATGGCCTAAGCCAAATGCAGAGGCTTAACCCACTGAGCCACCCAGGTGCCCCGCAATTGGCTGTTTTTAAATTCTAGCCATCCTAGTGGGCATGACATGTTATCTGGTTGTGGCTTTAATTTGCATTTCCTTGATGGCCAATGAGGGCAAGCACCTTTTCCTGGGCTTGTGAGCCATTTGTATCTCTCTCGTTTTTTTTTTTTGTTTTTGTTTTTGTTTCGTTTTTTAAGTAAGCTCCACGCCCAGCATGGGGCTTGAACTCACAACCCTGAGGTTAAGAGTCAGATGACCTACAAACTGAGCCCGCCAGGCACCCTGCCATTTGTAGATCTTGTTTGGAGAAACGTTTATTCAGATCCTTTACCCGTTTTAAAATTCTATTACTTATCTCTCATTGCTGCATTGCAAGAGTTCTTTGTATATTCTGGATGCTAGTGACTTACCGGATATGTGATTTGCAAATATTTTCTCCCCAGCTGTGGGTTGTCTTTCTCGACCCAAAGCCTTGCATGAAGGCAGAAACGAGACCAGAGATTTATTCCATCACATCTGGAGCACGAAGTGGGACAGGGGCTGTTCGGGGATTTGGGTTTGGGGGAAATGCGGGATGTAACTACCCACTCACCTGTTGACTCTGGGGGCTCCCGCTGCTCCCATCTGGTCAAGTGTGGGCATGCCGGCCCCCAAGTTCGGGCGCGGCAGCCTGGGGACCAGCTGCCCCAGGAGGCTGTGGCGGTACCACCGAGCACAGCTGTTGACCTGGCAGCGTTGGCGGGAGGCTGTGCTCACCTCCGTCGCCATGGGTGAGGGGTGATCGGGGGTGACTGGAGGCTAATCAGTTGTCTTATACATTGTAGCTGACTGCCAAGTGTTCGCTCTGAATCAGCGCTGTGTGGGAGCCTGGCGCCGCGGCTCTGAGCTGGCCCTGAGGTGGAACGGGGGTCAGGGAGGCCTGCCCGGCCTGGGTCACGGGGGAACCTCCCTCGGCCCCACGAGGGCTCTTCTGGGAGCCTGTTGGGGACTTCTCTTCCTTTGTTTTTAGAGCACTGAGATCTGTCCCGTAGACCCTGTGGTCACGTCCTGAGCTGACACCCCGCCTCGTCAGTCCTTTCCCTGCAAACTGAGCTGCGATGACCTAGAGGAGGCCCGGGGTCAGACCAAGCAGGGCAAGTCTGAGGACAGAGTGTGGGGCTCACGTTCATCTGTACCTTCTCTCTCCATCCTCCCTTCCAGAAGTCAATGGTGCCCGTTCTGCCTGCAGGGGCCTGGTGGTGCCCGTCCTCCTCCCAGATAAGTCGGCCTCTCCCACACCTGCTGACCCTCCCCGGCCCTGGGAGCGCACCTCTGTCATCGCCCACATCTCCCTGCCCCTTCCCCGCCACGAGGAAGCGCAGGGGGCCCCCGGGCCAGACCCCCTGCAAGTTGGCCCGGTGCACCTTTGGGCCAGTCGGGCCCCCAGCGTACCCCTCAAAGATAGCCTGAACCAGCTTAACCTGCCCCCGCTGCTGGTGCTGCCCACACGGTGGCCCCCGATCCCGGGCCCCGCTGGGGACCCCGCCGCAGACGGCCGGCTGGGTGCGGCACGGGCCCCCGGAGGCTTTCAGTGCGTGCACTGCGGCAAGCCCTACCACACGCCGGCCGGGCTGGCCAGGCACCGGGAGCTGCACTGCCAGCTGCGGGCACGGCGCTGCTTCTCCTGCAAACACTGCGACAAGGAGTACGGCAGCTTGGGCGCCCTCAAGATGCACCTGCGCACGCACGCGCTGCCGTGCCCCTGCGCCGTCTGCGGCAAGGCCTTCTCCCGGCCCTGGCTTCTCCAGGGTCACATGCGCACCCACACAGGTGGGTTGGCGGGAGGCCCTGGGGGGCGGGGTTCAGGCCTGGCCCCAGACAGGACCGGAGGGGAGAGTTTGCAAACAAGCGGCCAGCATGGCCGGGCTCCCTCCAGAGGCTGCGGGGAGGGTCCTTCCTGCCTCGTCTAGCGCCAGGGAGGCCCGGGTGTCCCTCCACGGTGGCCATGTCCCTCGCCCCTGCCCCCATCCTCATGTGGCCTCTCCCCTACGCATATTTGCATCCATATTGCCTCTGTTGTGAGGACACCAGGATAGGGGGCCAGGGTCCACATACCCAGGGTGACCCCACCCTAATCTGGTCCCATCTGCAGGGGCCCTGGGTTCCAGGTCAGGTCACGTCCACAGGCACTGGAGGTTATGACACAAACACATCTGTTTTGAGACACACAATTCACCCCACAACACCTGGCAAAGCACATGATGTCCCGGCTTCTGTGGGTCTGACTTGTCACCTTCCGCGGACTTCCGGAACTCTGGAGCAGGAGGAGCGGGGGACGGAGAAGACGGGTGGCAAGCACGGGGGACACAGACCGCCTGAAGGGCACAGACGACAGCTGGGGCTTGATGAGGGCCCGGGAGCAAACCCATCCTGGGGAAGAGGAGGCCTGAACACAGGAAGGGAGAGGAGGGCAGCTGCGGACAGACAGACAGACAGCCGACGAAAGAGAAGGGCATGTGCCCAGACCTGAGGCCCAGAGGCCTCAGCACTTCAACTCTGAGGGCAGCAGGTAGGACCACACCGCACCCCAGGCCCACCAGGAGAGGGAGAGGGAGGCACAGACAGAAGGCCAGGAACGAGACTTGCGGGCCAAGGCCCCAGCTGCCACGTACGCCTCCCATCCCCGGAGCCTCCCTGCCCGAGTCTGTAACTAGGACTCTTGGAGTCCCAGCTGGGCAGAGGCTCGAAAGCAGGGTCTTGCAGGAGACACTGTCTGGGCTGAAATTCCATTTGGTTTTCCTCAGCCCCCCGCAGAGATGTCCCTGAGTGCCTCACCCCACACTCTCAGGCACTCAGCGCTCTGGGTCTGGGAGCCAGAGGGTGGGAGGCCCCACAGGAGACTGACCGGGCTGGAGGGGGTCCGGGCTTTGACCAGCAGGGAGAGATGCTCAGGGGCCGTGGGGACTGCAGTCTGGTGCCTCTCGGGACTCCGCAGGGCGGAGGGCTGGGAGTCACTCCACACGGGCAGAGGACAGATGAGCCCCAGTGATCCTCTTACACTTGTTAGGGCTATCCAGGGGGCCCAGCTCCCAACGGAAGGACTTTGTGCAAATCCCCAAGCACCCTGATTGGAGGTGCTTTGGAGGACACAAGGTTCCTAAGACGTTCCTAAATGCCTGTGTCTACTGCAGGGGCCAGGGCTCAGTCCTTTTAGCCCGCCTTCACGGCTGATCCGGGAGTGGCGCCGCTTGCCACCCTGTCCTTCCACGGCAGGAACAGTGGCCAGAAGGCCCCCCGGAGGGCTCTGGCAGAAACAGAGAAGGATCTGGTGACTGTGGTGATTACAGCAAAGACCCACGCTAGACCTTTCCTCTTAGGGTCTTAGATGCTGTAGTCCTGGCCGGATGTGACCGTCCATCCTGTTCCCAAGTGGCTCTGACCTTGACTGTGTATGTGGGCCTGTTGGTCCTAGGGTTTCCTCCTGGAGCCGGGCTGAGGCCCCCTCCATGAGTGCTGGGGAAGGGCGCTGAAGGAAGAGAATGCATTAGAACGGGCACGAACATTTGGAGAAGATGGAGGGCCTTATTCATTTATTTTTTTATTTTAAAGATTTTATTTATTGGCGGGGAGCAGAGGGAGAGGGACTCCCCGCTGAGCAAAGCCTGAGCCGGGGCCCCACCCCACAGCCCTGGGACCATGACCTGGGCTGAAATCCAGAGGCAGGTGCTCACCAGGGGAGCACCGAGGCACCCCGAAGCTTGTTCGTTTGTAAACACGACCCATGAACCCGGGGCCAGCTCCCATGACCAGGCAGAGGGACCCTGACCCACGCTCCCCTTCCTCCCCCAGGTGAGAAGCCCTACACCTGTTCTCACTGTAGCAGGGCCTTCGCTGACCGCTCCAATCTCCGGGCCCACCTGCAGACACACTCTGACACCAAGAAGTACCAGTGCAAGAACTGTGCCAAGACCTTCTCCCGCACGTCGCTCCTGGCGCGTCACCAGGAGTCCAGCTGCTGCCCCGACCCCTGAGGAGGGTGGGCTCGGTGCAGGGAGGAGGGACAGGACGTCACCCCAGGAGCTGACGGCTGGCCTGCCGTGCTGCCCGGCCCCACACTCGCCCGTTCGGTGTTTCTCCTCTCTGCCTGCCGCTGCCCAACCCGATCCCGAACGGGAGAAGCCTGGAGGGCTGTTAGGGTGAGTGAGCGAAGACGGTGACCAAGGACTGTCCTGTGTTTGACTTGCTCTGTTTCTGCTTCTGCTATCCCAGAGTTAAAGGCCGGTGGGGGACAGCTGCCAGCGTGGCCCGCGCCTGCCATTCCGCTGGCCTCTGTGGGGAGAGCTGCCTCAGGGCTCCCCTCCGCCTGCCGCTGGTCTGGACTCCGGGCTCAGCTGCGTCCCGTCAGGGATGCCGCACGCCGCCGCCACCCTCCTCCCCAGGCGGCCCCGGACAGAGCGAGGGCCCCCCACAACCACAGGGCAGAGGACAACCACATGTCCTCTGAGGCTCTGAGTCAACGGCGGAGGCTGAGCGTGGAGCTGTCCTTGAGGGGCTGCAGGTGGCTGACGTGGCCCTCTGGCCGCAGAGTGGGGGAGGGACGGCGAGGGCGTGGAGCTGTGGGACGGAGGGATGAAGGGCAGGACTGGTGGGAGGCCGTGGCGCCAGTACGAGCGGGAGGCACCGTCTTCGGAAGAAAGAGACCAGAAATGGGAACAGCATCAAGCTGGGAGGGAGAGCAGCCACGGGGTGTGGACGTGCTGGGGAGATCAAGGCCCAGGGAAGAGGCAGCCGTGGGCTGCGCGTGCCCACACTGGCAGGGCGCTCAAAAGGCCATCTAGTCGGGGTCTGCCACTCTCTACGGAGGCCACCACATCGCCCAGGGACTGTGTCCGTGGCCGCCCGTGGCACCATCACCTCCCCTCTGTCTGCCCTTTCCTGAAGCCGCAGGCGTCCACCAGCTGAGAGAGGGGCAGACCTTGACCCTGCCCAAGACAGGCCTCTCAAACAGACTCAGATGCCAACAGGGGACCCCTCCCCAGCCTCCTGCCCCCACGGGGCAGCCTCTTTCCACCTCCAACCACCGGGCGGTCACCTGCTGGGCTGGTCCTCCCTCCTGCCAGCACATCTTGGCGTCTCCGGCTGGCCCGGGAGGGCGGCCTGCGTCTCACGGAGACTGATTGAGTTCTCGACACCCGGAGGGGACACCTGCTCCTCTCTGCAGAGGGGCTGGCCAGCTGTCAGCAACGCCACTTCTGGCCCAGGCTGAGGGACAAAGTCAGGCACCTTGGTCCTGGCCCTGAATGGGGCCATAGGGCAAGTGGCAGGAGGTCCCCGTCTCAGCCCCAAGCCCTGTGGCCCTGCTGAGGAACGTCCACCAGGCCCACCCTGGCCACACGGCACCTGCAGATTCCGCTGGAGGCTCCTCTGGGGCTGCTTGGACGACAGCCATTGGAGGAGCCTTGGGGACACCCCAGAGGAAACTTGACCGTTATCTTGGGCTTCTCAGGACCAAGGGTGACCTTGACGAAACTGGCCACCCAGGAGCCCGTGGCTTCAGCAAGTACCAGACTGTATCAGCAGGTGGAAGGAAGACGCCCTCTGGGAAAGCCTTCCTCACATTCCCTTCCCTCTGCAGGGATCAGCCGCGCCCCGAGGGACAGACAGTGTGAGCGGGAGGCTTAGCTAATATATCCGAGTCCTGGGGCTGCGTAACCAAGTTCCCCATACCAGCCGGCTTGAACCACAGACGTCCACTCCCCCACAGTCTGGAGGCCGCACGTCTGAGACCCAGGTGCCAGCATGGCCGGTTCCTCCTGGGGCCCCTCTCTCAGCCCCTGCTGGCTTGCCGGCGTCTTCCACGTCCTCGGCTGGTAGACCCATCACCCATCTCTGCCTCCGTCCCACGTGGCGTCTTCCTGCCTGTGCGTCTGTCTCTGTGTGCAAATCCCCCTTTTCCTGAGGACACCCGGCCTACTGGGTTAGGACCCCCCCGATGACATCATCTTAACTGGATCAACTCCAAGACCTGGTTCCAAATGGGGCGACATTCTGAGGTCCTGGGGGTCAGGATTTCAACACCATCTACCCCCAACAGCTGACATGAGCAGAGTTTGCCAAGAGACACCTGGGGTCATCTCCTCTGTCCTTAGTCCACAAAGGTTTGGTGGGTGGGTGCAGTTGATTTAACTGATGGATTTACTGGAAACACTTCCTGTGCCCATTCCCACGCCTGTCCGTCGTCCTGAGCAGGGGCCCTGCGCTCACAGGGCAGCCGTCCCTCCCAGCAGTCTCCCAGAGCGCTGGGCTCCTCTGCTGAGCGGGTCAAGCCGGCGATCAGCCTGTGTCCCGCCATCTCACAGAAGGCCTTTTTTTTTTTTCTTTTTAAATAGCATCCAGATGCCTGAAGGAAGCTATATTGTAGATTGTGTTCTATTTCTAGGTCCCGATGTCTAAATGAGGCGATGCACCTGTTGGATATGAAGGGAGGGAATTTCGCGGCTCTAAAATAAAGTCAAATGCTTGCCCTTCTGTACCGGCCCATGGAAAATGCTCCTACATTTATATCTGGACTGGCAGAGGGCAGGGCGGTGGAGGCTGGCTTGGCAGACGGCGTGAGGAAAGGCCCGAGCGCCTGCTGGGAAGCCAGCGGAGGATGAATGGGGGAGACAGGCCCACCGGGAGCACGTCAGCTGGGGTCAGATCACGGGGAGGCCACGCGGCCCGGCCCGAGCGGCTGGCAGCTCCCCCTCCCCGTGTCCCCTGCCTTTCCTTGTCATTTTGGTTATCAGAATTCACCTAGGACACCCATTACAAAGTTGGCTTTCTGGAGCCCCCACCCCGACACCTACAGAGTGGGAACCAGGAAAGGGGGGCCAGACCTCGTTCACGTCTGTCCCAGTGGCGTGGGCGCGGCTGGGCTTTCTGTGGGAGCTGCTCTTTGGGTCCCTCCACCCAAAGGCTTTCTTTTTCCTGCCCAGACTTTGCTGAACACATGTCGCCTCTTCACCCTAAAGAAGGCCTTTGGATCCCCTCCCTCCGCGGCAAGAGCAAGTGGAGCGGTGGCCAGAGGCCCTGGGGCCGAGGAGCTGGGAGCCGGTGCTGTGGCCATAGCCCGTCCGGTAGACGCTCCACCAGTTCCATCCAGCAGAAAGCAGAAGGCTAAGAGATCAGGGGGGATTCTGGACAAGAGGAAAAGCATGTAATAAGCCCTCCAAGCTCGGGGACCCCATCTTTCAACAAGAGAGGAGTCCCTGGATGGTGGTGTGAGGGTGACGGACAGGGTCAGCATCAGATACCCAGCCAGGAAAACCACTGTTCTTGGACTCAGATGCCAGCGCCCGGCCTCCGCAGGCTCAGGTCCTGGAAACAGGTGCAAGAGGGACACCCAGTCTCTCGGTGGCCCGGTCCCCTGCTCCATCCCCCATTCAAGGAAACCACTCTCCTGAAGCTACAGACACACTAAGGTTATGCCTTCCCTTCCAAAAGTCCAGAGGGTTCCATAAATATCATTTTGGCCCAGAATATTCGGGGGGGTTCTCTAGAAGTTTGAAAACAGCCTGCTTGTTACTATCTATACTCAGAGAACCCACTCCCGGCCTCCACTTGGGGGCTAAGTATAGCTCGCTGGCAAGGTTCAATGGAACAAAAGTTTCCAGACCTCTGTCACTTGCGCACAGCATGACATTCCAGGGAGGATGCAGCAGACTCAGGGGGTCCAAGGAGGCCGGGACAGCAGGGCGCCCCCGAGCGAGGGCGTCTGTGGGACTCACCGGCAATCAGGGTGTCCTGGCTCGGTCCCCAAGGGAGGAGTTCTGGTCCTAGCTGAGTCAGTCCCACTGTAAGGCCTTGGCTTCCGCTTCTGTAAAGAAGGGAAATCATGCTAAACTCAGTTCCAGAATTCAGGGGAGGACCAAATACATATAATAGCAAAAAAAG